AGCCCAAGACACAGAACAGAACAGGGACAGAGCGAGCAGGACTAGGGCCAGCACGGCCCACCTTGCGCTGGGTTTTTAAATCAGGGTGGGACGGACAATGACTTTGAAACGCATTGTTTAAAAAACGGCTTTGCTCCATGCAACGCTGTCTCCCGGATTGAATTCTGAAAGGGAAGCAAGGACGTTAGTAAGAAAACTGGTGAAATCCAAACCAAGTGGATAGTTTGGTCGGTAGCACTGCATCAATGTCAATGTCTTCCTAGTAGTTTGGATAAACAGAACACGCTTATGTGAGATGTTAACAGTAGGGGGAGCCAATGGAGGGCATACGGGAATCCTGTATTATCTTTGCAAGCTTTCTGGAAAGCTACGGCTATTACAGAATAAAACGCCTATGTAGAAGGCCGCTTCGGAAAGATCTACGGGGCGATCAGAAATCAATAACCCACATCGCTCCGTGGCATGATGACTAGGAGAGCTCTCTCTGCAGCAACCCCGCTTGGGTTCAGATCCTTGCTGGGGGGCCTGGGCTTTTATCTAATGCCCCTAAGCCCCGGCCTCATCTGCCATAAGACAGGGATCTTGAGCTTCTGCGGGATGTTTCTGGCACGGGGCCTGTCATTGCGAGCGCTCAATAAATAATAACTGATATTATTCGCCCAGGGAAACCGAAATCCCAGGTCCAGGACTGCGATGATTTCCCAGTTAGAGTCTCAGCCCCGTTGGAGATCCAGAAGTCTCCGATGAACCTGGGCTCCCAGCAGAAAGCATCTAAGACAGACTCCCCCCCCCGCCCCCCGCCCCACGTGCCCGTCCCTCGCCCTGCTCCTTCTTTATCCCTTGTCCTGATGATCAGCCATCCTAGTGGCTCAAGTCAGAAACCTGAGCGCCGCCCCACTCTCTCCCTTCCCCACACATCCGATCTGCCCCCCACTCCTATCAGTGATCCCTCCTCGACAGCTCCCCCTCCACGTCCTCCCTTTCAGCAGCCTCTCTGCCACCAGGGGCCTTGTAATCTCTCGCTTGGATGATGAAAGAGCTGCTCGGCTGGTCGGCTTACATCTGCTGCTGCCCCTGCAATAAAGATCATCCCTGTAGAGATCGAGTCTGGTCTTTACTGAGCCCCTGGGGATATGAGGGAGATGCCAGGGGTGGTTCCTGTCCCGCCGGAGTCTATAACCTGGTTTGGGATATAACACATGAAGGTTCAGCAAGTAGAGGAGGAAGAGAAGAAAGCTGTAATCCCAGAATAGGAGGAGATTATGACCAGCTTCCACACCAGACTGAGGACTTGATCTGGTAGGACATTGGGATCCATGTTGATGGCAGGCAACGTGTGACAGGATAAAATCAGATTTTTTGAAAGAGATCTGTTGTGTGGAAGATTTATAGGGAAAGGACTGGTGGCCGGCTGATAAATTGAGATGCTATAAACTTTCCACCTTAGGGCCTTTGCACATGCTGTTTCTTTTTCCTGCAATGCACCTCTCTCTCTCTCTCTCTCTTGCCAAGTTAATTCCTTATTCTCAGTTCAAGTGTCACTTCTTCAGCGAAGCCTTTCCTGGGCTTCCAGCCTTGGTCGAACTCTCCTTTTAGCTTATCACCATGCCCAGCCCCCTGTGGCCGGCGCCACCCCCGCCCCAACGCGCTTGCCTATATTGTGCAGGCTGGACACACTTACTGCGCTCCTCCTCAGCCTCCTTCACAGCGAGGGGTGGCTGCAGACACAGTTCAAGCCCATGAAAACCAGAAGAAGGAACCAACAGGACTTGAGGAGTGAAAGACAGCTCCGGGTTTGGGTGACGGGGAGAGAACTTCGGGGCCCCGGAGTCACCAGGGAAACTGGGAGAGGCCGTTTGGAAGGGGGGACAACGCTCAGTGTTTAAACTCCCTGAGTTCCAGCTGCCGTAACCAGAGCAGACAGTGGACAGGATGTGCTGGCCTTCCTGTGATCCGTTTCCCCTTGGTCAGGCGACAGCCCCGTTTCCCTTTCAGGACTCAGATCCTCTCTCCCGCTGTGTGCAGTCCTGGTGGGGCTGCGGATCCGAGAGCCCTGCTTTCGCCCTCCTGGGAATTCGGAGGGCCACGTGGGTGGGAGATGGTGGCGGCTGATGCCTGCCAGTGGTGGGTTCTGAGGACCCTGGTTCTTCAGCTTTTCCGTCACCGTTCACCGTTCGTGTAGGCGGGGCCGGTTTCTGTTGCTTTCGACCAAAGAACCCTAGCTGACCACACAGTCTAGGCACAGACAACACAAGATGGAGCGGGCCCCAGAGATATAAGTGCAGAGGAGGAGGAAGAGTAAACAGAGAGAAGGAGTGGGAATCAAAGAAATGCCGGAAGTGACGAAAACAAGGGTAAAGGGAGCCGGTTCAGGGGCTGAGGCTGCCCTGTTCTGGGCCGGGCCAGCGGGACCCCAGAAGCCTCGGGGAGCTGAGGACTGAGTGGAGGAGAAAGGCATCCCTTTCATCCCCACCCACTTCCTGTTTTTCCTTCAATCTCCTGAGTTCCTTTAAGGCTTTTTCCTGAGGATAACGTTCTAAGGATGGCCACGGACCATCCTCTCCGAGGATGAAGGATCTGTGCCCCATGGCCACAGGATGAATGGGACCAAAGCTGTTAATGAACGCACTTCAGCCCCCCCCCCTTTTCCTCCTCCTCCCCCCAAACCTCGCAGGCATAAATCAAAACGCCGGAATTCTTCGGGGATGGCGGCTGGAAATGCAACGTTACATGAAATGTTTCCAATTTGCTTTCAGCCAAATTACCTCTTTTGCTTTAAAGGGCAAACTTGTTTTCTTTGATTATGATGACGCCCATCAGTTCTTGACAGCTCATTTGGGTGAACAAGAAAAAGCCCGTGGAACTAGGATCGGGGGAAGCGTGTCTGACTGTGATGACAGAAATCACTGGAGAATCTCTTTTCCTTGAATTCTAATATGACCATTCCGTGTCCTTTTTTTAATGCCACCAACCTTAATGTTGAAATCATTTCCAACTTCAGCCTCTCCTTTGAAAATTCCTGCCCTGAGAGTTGAAGCAAGATTGCTAATGGGTGGGGAACTTTAATTGGATCTTCCCTTTATTTGTCATTAATTCTGCTGATGAACTTTATAAATGGAAATACATCTTTATCATGCAAATTATACCTCGGTTTCATTCACGGGGTCTGGTTAGATATCTTATTACTCTCACTCTCAGAACATTTTGAAAGAAAAAAAAGGTTTTGAGGTAAATTATATTTTTTCCCCCTCAGGAGGAAAAGGGGAAGAAAATTTAACCTCACAACTCCCCCACAAACCCAACACTGGTGCGTGGAGAAGTCAGAGGGTGTTAAGAAAAACTGGAAGCTCAGTGGTTGAGCGTCGACCTATGAACCAGGAGGTCACGGTTCGATTCCCAGTCAGGGCACATGCCTGGGTTGTGGGCTCGATCCCCAGTGTGGGGCATGCAGGAGGCAGCCAATCAATGATTCTCTCTCATCATTGATATTTCTATCTCTCTCCTCCCTTCTTCTCTGAAATCAATACAAATATAATTTAAAAAAAGAAAAGAAAACTGGAGTATATGTGTGTGGGGGGCAGATGGGGGAATCTCATTTTAAGGAATACCAGAAAACATACTATGTGTCAAACACTATTCTAAATTCTTTTTTTTTTTTATTCCTCACCCAAGGATATTTTTTCCATTGATTTTTATTTTATTTTTATTTTTTTTAAAATATATTTTATTGATTTTTTACAGAGAGGAAGGGAGAGAGATAGAGAGTTAGAAACATCGATGAGAGAGAAACATCGATCAGCTGCCTCCTGCACATCTCCCACTGGGGATGTGCCCGCAACCCAGGTACATGCCCTTGACCGGAATCGAACCTGGGACCCTTCAGTCCACAGGCTGACGCTCTATCCGCTGAGCCAAACCGGTTTCGGCTCCATTGATTTTTAGAGAGAGTAAAAGTGGAGAAGGAAGGGGGAGGGGGGAAGAGAGAGAGAGACATATAGACTGACTGCTCCTGCACTCGCCCTGATGGGGCTCAGGATCTAACCTGCAACCAAGGTATATGCCCTTGACCAGGAATTGAACCAGTGGCCCTTCAGTCCATGGTCCAACGCTCTAACCACTAAGCAAACCAGCCAGGGCTATTCTAAATTCTTTTTTTAAAAATATATATTTTATTGATCTTTTTACAGAGAGGAAGGGAGAGAGATAGAGAGTCAGAAACATCGATGAGAGAGAAACATTGATCAGCTGCCTCCTGCACACTCCCCACTGGGGATGTGCCCGCAACCCAGGCACATGCCCCTGACCGGAATCGAACCCGGGACCCCTTAGTCCGCAGGCCAATGCTCCATCCACTGAGCCAAACCAGCCAGGGCTATTCTAAATTCTTTAGATGAATTAACTCCTTTATTCTTCATAACAACCTGATGAGGTTGGAGCTTTTATTACCTCCATTTACAGAGGAGAAAAGGGAGGCAGAGAGGGGTCAGAAGTTTTCCTTAGTTTACAGCTAGTAAGTGATAGAGCTGGCATTTCAGCCCAGGCAGCCTGTCTCAGGAGCCTGCGCCCCATAACCACTATTCTGTCCGGTCTCCCAATTTTAAGACTGACTTCTATGTGGACACAGTCAAATGATTCTTTGCTGGTTCAGTTTCAATGCATCCTGTCAAGCAGAGACTTAGGGAACAGAGGCGTTTAAGATAAGATTTAGGCCCTAGCTGGTTTGACTCAGTGGATAGAGTGTTGGCCTGTGGACTGAAGAGTTCCAGGTTTGATTCTGGTCAAGGGCACATGCCTGGGTTGCAGGCTCAGTCCCCAGTAGGGGGCGTGCAGGAGGCAGCCGATCAATGATTCTCTCTCATCATTGATGTTTCTATCTCTCCCTCTCCCTTCCTCTCTGAAATCAATAAAAAAATATTTTTTAGAAAAAGATAAGATTTAGTTCCTATAGCAGTCAATCTACTTAACAACTTAACAAATATGAATATTTATAGTTTTTAAAAATATATATTGTCAAAAAGCAAGGCTTGCACTGGCTGGTGCTGGTTGAGCATTGTCTCATGCACTGAAAGGTCCCTGGCTCAATTTCTGGTCAGGGCACATACCTAGGTTTTGTGGGTTCAATTCCTGGTCGGGGCATGTACAGGAGGCAACTGATCGATGTTTCTCTCTCACATCAATGTTTCTCTCTCTCTCTCTCTCTCTCTCTCTCTCAAATCAATAAAAACAGCCTGGCCACAGGAGAACAGAGATCCACTGAACTAGTCACCATTCTCCAGTTTCCTCCTCCTTACAAATTAATTCATCGTGATTTTTAATCCCTCTTTTGATGAAAGTGTAGTTTTAGGAGTGTTTATTTCCAGTTACATCCAACTGTGGATAGGAACATTTTGGGTGTTGCAGACAGAAGGAAGAATTTCCTAGTAAGGAGTTTAGAATCCTTCTAAAATAAACTTCTCCTACTTAAAAAAATATTTAAATTATAACCTTACAAAATGCAAAACACTGGCTTTTCATGGCTGACAGATTATGTTGAAGAAGCGTCTTTTTTAAACCAAAGGTTGTGCCCCTTTAGTGAGTGAAATCAATTCACCAGTTAAAAATAAATGAAAGACGCCCGAGTCATTTTGGCTCAGTGGATAGAGAGTCAACCTGCGGACTAAGGGTCCCAGGTTTGATTCTGGTCAAGGCCACATGCCCAGGTTGCAGGCTTGCTCTCCAGTGGGGAGGGTACAGGAGGCAGCCAATCAATGATTCTCTCTCATCATTGATATTTCTATCTCTCCCTTCCTCTCTAAAATCAATAAAGAAATATAAT